AATATGATACGTAAAATAGAAAATAGTAAGACTAATAAGAAAAATAAAAACATTAAATCGATAATATACGAAGAGAAAGAAATAATAAATCCTCAAGAGGTTGTAAATGTGATGGCTAATCATTTTGAAAATATTAGTGAGAGTACAATAATAAACAATGAAGCCGAAAATATAGTTAAAGAATATATTATGCAAGAAAATGTAAATGACGATCAAGAACAACGTAGAAATCAGTCTTTGAATCAAAAATTTACTATGCAAGAATTCAATCAAGTCCTGAAAAATCAAAAAGATACAGCACCAGGAAAAGATAAAATTGGATATGAAATCTACAAGAAGTTACCAGTACAGATTAAAAATAAAATGTTAAAAATTATGAATAAGATTTGGGAAAGTGGAAACATCCCCCAACAGTGTAAACACGGAATCTTGATACCGATACTAAAAGCAGGTAAAGATCCACAAAAACCATCATCGTATAGACCAATAACATTAACTCCCATCTTTATAAAGATATTGGAAAAGATGGTTTATAGAAGACTAGATTGGTATTTAGAAAATAAAAGTATTTTTCCGAGCATACAGAGCGGATTCAGAAAAGGAAGAAGCTCTACAGATAATATTATACTACTTGAAAATAGTATTCAGCAAAGCTTAGGGAACCATGAACATACTCTAGTCTGCTTTATAGATGTAACAAAGGCATACGATAAGTTGTGGTACAATGGTTTATTATATAAATTACTCAAATTAGGAGTGAAAGGAAACATGTATACATTTATTCAGAACTTACTACAGAAAAGAACCTTCCAAGTGAGGAATGGACAGACATTATCTAAAATATCTACCCTAGCCAATGGATTACCACAAGGAAGTGCCCTTAGCCCAATTTTATTCAACATTATGATGCATGATATACCATTGGAAAAGGAAGTGAATTTATCATTATTTGCAGATGACTGTGCTATATGGAAATCAGGTAAAAATGAAACGTTTGTTCAAGACAAAGTTCAAACATACCTACATCGGTTAAATGAATGGTTTAAATACTGGGGAATTTCAATATCTCATGAAAAAACAGTTTCGCTTCTATTTACAAATAGTAATAAAAAATGTGAACTGAATCTTGAAGGAGTACCCTTGCCTTTTGTACAGGAGCACAAATTCCTAGGCTTAATGTTTGATAAAAAATTAAGTTGGAGACCACATATTCAGGATATAGTAAAAAGATGTAAAATAAAATTGAATATTTTGAAGAAAATAACTGGTATATCATGGGGAAATGACTCCCACTCTATGCTTATTGTATATAAAGCATTAATACGTTCACTATTTGACTATGGATGTGAAGCATACGATTCAGCTTCAAACTTAGTAAAGAATACGTTGAACTCAGTACAATATCAGGCTTTAAAAATTATAACTGGTGGCCCTATTGGAACTTCATTACAATCCCTGCTTAAAGAAACAGGAGAAGAACCACTAGATATAAGGAGAAAAATGCTGACGAATAGATATTATTTTAAAGTGAAATCTACTCCCGAACACCCAGTCCGAAAATGTACAATCAACTGTTGGCAGTATGAAAATCTTAAAAAAAAGAAAGGAAAAAAGCCCTTTGGTTTTAGAATTCTAAACGAGAAAATAGTTCAAGAATCGGATGAAGTTGAAGAAAACAGACCAATACCATTTCCACCATGGCATTACATTCCACCCACCATCTCCACTGAATTACATACTTTAATCAGCAAGAATGACAACCCACACTATCAAAAAGCCAAATCTTTAGAAGTAATAAACACTAGATATAAAACACACCTACATATATACACAGACGGATCTAAAGATCCTAAAAGAGGCAACGCAGCAGCAGGCTTCTACGTACCAGCGATGAAAATTCATGAACAGAAACGATTACACAATGACACATCGTCATACAGGGCAGAACAAGTAGCCATTATTATGGCATTAGATTGGATTGAAAACTTGAATATTTATGTTGGTATAGTTATTCTTTCAGACTCTCTGAGTACAATAAATGCAATAGAATCGCAGATAAAAGAAAATTTCGTAATAGAAATACTGATAAAAATAACACACCTTCATTATAGAGGTATAAACATAACGCTAGAATGGATCCCATCTCACTGTGGACTAGTAGGGAATGAAGTAGTAGATAGTTTTGCTAAGAGAGCATTAAAGAAAAACATAGAAATTAACAATGATCTTAATGTACAAGAACTGAAATCAATACTGAGTAAAAGAGTACGAGAAATTGGGGAAGATAGATGGAAAACGATAGAATCACCTTTAAAACGATTTGAGAATCATTCATGTATATCAATCAAGGTAAACAGATACAGTGAAGTAACATTACATAGATTGAGAATGGGTGTTCTTCAACTGAACCAACAAAAGGCTAAAATGGGTTTAAGTGAAACAGAATATTGTGATTATTGTAACATCAGTGAAACAGAAGAACATTTTATATTTTATTGTAATAAGTATATCATTGAACGAGCAATGCTTTTCTCAGATTTAGACACCAAAACAATAGAAGAAACAAAAAGAATACTTTTCAAGTTTTCACAGAAGGCTCAATATGCCATCCTACTATATATCCATAGAACAGGTCGCTTCAAATAAAACAAGAGACCTAATAAGTTTACCTACAAGTAAAGTAAAATAAGCCAAAAGTACTTCTTTCCCCTATCGCTTCTTTAGGAGATTCTCATAAAGAGAATAAAAGGAGGAATAAATAAAGAAATATAATGTATGTAGGTATGTAATATATAGGCCTATATAGGCCATATATAATATTAAATAAAGACGTTAATTTTTCAATTGTTCTATTTTTATGCATTGATACTAACAAAGAGCCCACTTAAATGTTTGCTTACAAATAGTGATAATGTGATAAGATTTGTATATCAATTTACTTGAATGGATTGGAAATTCGGTTTCAGGAGCGCCCCTGTACGATGTGTCTCAATTTATAGTGTTTCTGTGTTTCTGAGTGGTCTAGGCACCGTGCGTTATAAAATTAAAAGATCACTGCGCACGCACGCCGAGTAGCCGAGAAGCCTGTTTCACATCGGGCAAAGCTAGTTTTCCATGCCATCGAAACCGGGCTGACCAGATTAAACTTTAAAAAAAAAGCAGAAACACGAAGTTGCAAACCATCCAGAGACTCCTAAAAAATTGCGTTACTTTTTAATTACATCATTACAAATCTTTATCCTCAGTTTTCTTATTTATAACTGATTTTCCTTATAAAATTAAAAATAATTATGGCGTATATATTCAACATTGAATGAACGCCAATAAACAATTACCCAACAACAACAACAACAACAACATCCAGGGTGATATTGAGCTACAGGCATCTGATTGGTTACAAAAATGGGCTTGGTTGCTATAGCTGATCGGATTGGTCGATCACGTTATGAATATGCATTATCTAAGTTGGAGGCGGTGTCTCTGACTGAGCATTCTGATTGGCTAGACGGCAACAGGCGACCTCGTGCTCACCTCATGCCATGTTTACCTTTTGACAAAGTTTGTCGACCCTAGTCAGCTGATTGGAGCTCGATGAGTGATTTCACTTCTTGTAAGAAAACGAAAGGAGGGAGCTCTCGATACTCGTTTCTTATGGGGCCGGGGGAAAACAGTCTTTACTTGAACATATTTACTTAGCGATTAAATAAAGATGACGACCTAGCTACTATGTTATCTGATTGAAAGAAAAACATTCAAATCAAATGAGACAAAAGTGGTGATGCAAAAAAAGAAGAAGCAAGTGTTGTCATTATTTGTTTCTACATAAATGGGGAAATTTCATTATTTTGATTTTCTATGTGTTTTGCTTTTCGATTGGTGTATTGGTATGATATGCAGCATGATTCGAACATATTTGGATATTTCTAAACATGTTATCTTCTCTATTTATTTTTTTTTAACTATGGTTGAGCACTTTATTTTCAATGTCACAATGTATTATCAGAGAGAGGACTGTGAGGAATATACTTGTGAATTGTGATGCCTGTATACTACTTGTATGTAGGCCTATAATAGTCATCTGCCTGTCAGTTGTTTCTTTATCTTTAGAGCGAATCCATACCTTGGGAAGATTGCTGTTTTTATTGCATTTCATTAGAAAAAAATATCGAGAAGGTGTGCTTGTTCTGAATAAATGTTTGAAAATAAAGGGGAAATAACATCATATTAATTTGTTTTTATAGGCAAGATCATTATCAATGTCAAAATAATGGGGTTTTTCAAATTGGGCCATTTTTTTCTTCTTTTTTTTCTAAACTCGGTTGTTTTACTATATAATATATTAGGAGATTTTATTGCTGTATATTAGGTTGTTAACATTTGCTGCTAATTCACGAAATTGCATTATACAGAAAATACATCTAATTCATTATTATGCCCATATTTTCATCTTAAAATGATGTTAAAAAAATTACTCCCTCTCACTCCGTCTGTAGCTTTCTGTCCGTCTCTCTCTCTCTCTCTCTCTCTTTCTCTCTCTCCCTGCTCGATGAAAAGGTGTAGTACAGGTTCAACAAACTTTGTCCGATCACGAAAACACCACGAAGAGGATCGTATCAATACATTCAATTCGTTCTCCACAAAATTTTGCCATTCTTTATAAAAATCCTTAAGATAATAGAGAAAAATATCAAGGATTATGACGAGATTGTATACTTCTATCATTATTTTAAGATAAATGATGAATATTTGACAAATATAATGAAAATGACTGAAAGCTATTCTCAATAGATGGAATTTTTTTCAGGCGGTCCCTTGGTCTAGTTATTGCAAGGGTCGATATATGCATTGAGCCAATGGAGTTGACGAACCCAAGTGATTCATTCGCATAGCGTGATCGCAGCTTATTAGCATATCTGGGGGCTCGCCTGTTTCGTCATACGTTACGCATGCGCACGGGGCTTTGTGGTTTGCGTAGGGGGTGTGTGTTGCAATGGTTCATTCATTATCTATGCAGCTAGCCAGGGCCAAGGAGATGTATTTTGCTACAGACTTCATGCAAAAAGTGCACATGTAGTTTCGTTTTCTCTACTCGTTAACACTGCATCGTTAGCACGACGTTATCTTTATTATATACCAGCTTAAGCTAAGTTAGTTATCCGGAAGGTTGTTTTGCTGGTAATCACAGTTGTACACAGAAAAACTGCAATATATACCTCAGGAGTTCGAGCTGGATATATCATTTGCAATCTTCATCAAATCCGAAGGAGGCTGAACATGCTGAGCTATCGACTAGACTGTCCTGACATCATTTATCTTTTCAGCTTTGGTCTATTGAATTATCCAGAATCTAGCCCAACTAAGACGAGCATTGACATCTGAGGAATTATCAACTGGAGAACCTTTTTTGTGTGGAACTTCTCAATTCCTATTGCATTCCAGCTATACCCCGTCGCGTCTGATGAGTGATTTTGAATTTACAACACTCTGCCACAGTATGATGATGGAGCTTCAGCAACGAGACAACGAGAAGGCACCGCCTTCGCAGTCTATTCTCGGCATCATGAAAAACTTTATCGACTCCGTCAACGAAATGGACGAAACTGTGTTGATCCCGAGCCGGTTGATGGACATCAATATGGACAACTGCGGGTCGATGCTCATGGACAACGACGACTCGACACGCACGTCGATGTCGGTGATTCCAACATCAACCAGCGCCTTGCCCTCGTCGACGAAAGAGGTATCCAACGACCAAGTCAGCTTGCACACGTATTACTCGATGTTGAAGGCGGTGAAGAGGGAATTGGCTCGTGGACCGGTGAACGAGAGTGAGCTGAGTGAACTGGAGGACGAAACCCTCGATGAGGAGAGTGCCAGGTTACAGGCCGAGACTGCCCGGGCCTTCAGGGAACACCTTCGTGGACTCTTCTCAATTCTCTCACATCTCACGGACGTTTCCAAGCATCTGACGACGATTTATCAACAAGAAACTGGAGATCACCAATCCTGCTTGAAACCGAAATCGTTCCACGTATAGCCTGACTCTAGATGAAGCATGAACTTGCTTTATTTCAAAGACTTCTCTCACAGAAACTTATCGAACTGTGACAGTGAATGAATGAATTAGGTCTAGATCTAGGAGTAAAATCGTTCTTATCCTATGTTGCAGTCACAATCCAAAAAGAAAGTGCCGTGAAGATGCAGATTCTCTATCTGTCGAGGATGATGGTATGCAAACTATGAAACAATCAGTAGATCTGTATGAAAAAATAATATTTTGAAAATATGTCTATAAAATATTTGATATTTTGCTTTCAAATGATTATCACTATCACTATCAGTTAACACTGGGTGATGTAGCCTTTTTTGTGTAATTCTTTCCCAAGATTTGCAACAATATGTCGATATTATTATGTCTAGACTAGACTATGGTGAAAACGTTGAACGTTTTCAAATGCAAGAGAATGTTTACTTAATGTTAATATGCCCTGTTTATCTTATTGACGAAGTTTGATTTAATTATCTACAAGAAGGAAAGGGCTACTCAATCATTTGTTAATTGTTATACCAACTGTCGGTCAGTTTCCCTCCCATTTCTCTGGTTTCTCATCCAACCATCATTTGAAGGGCTAATATAGATCTAGACTATCTGTGTTTGATATATTTTGATATCAATTCATACAATATGTGAGTAACAAAATCTAAGTTTAGTATGGAAATCTTAACATTGACCAAAAACCAAAGTAAGCACAAATTAAATATTTTTGTGCAAAAGTGCAATTTTTCTATTATAGATATGAAATGAAATCAAATGAATTATTTTAAGAATCATGATGTTGCTCTCTTCAAAAAGTAGTAGAGTCTAGAATCTATTCAGTATTGTTTGGTTTGGTGACATGAAACTGAAGAAGTATGTTACCCTTTACAGTTATTAGTTAACTCCAATCGTTGGGTTTATTATCGTTGCAATGGTAATCCAGTGATCGAAAAACCTCAAATTATGAAATATACTGACGATTGTTCATCTACCACGCGTCTAGTGCATGCCAGGCATCTGTTTACGTGCATAGACATGACTTGTATCATGCTTGTGTTGACTCATTTGCGAACAATGCATTCATAATGTCCATCCATCCATATGCACTTGACGTCCAGCTATTGATGCGCATGCGCAGCTCTTTAACATATTTCCAGGGGGTTTTCCTAAGGTGACGTTGTTGACAAGAAGTGTTTTCTCGCTACTGAATATTCTACGAGATGAGGATTCGGGATGTAAGCCGACTTGTCTTTTGTTTATAAACACATTGCATCAATTTCCCGCCCTTTTTGGGGTTGGATTCAGTTTTGAGTCATACGATGATCTGTTGGTGCAATTTGGTGATGCAACTATTTTTCATGAATTTGAGCACAGTAAAAATGTCTTCCAAATTCAGTACTATGTGTGATACTGATTGCATTTTCGCCTCCACTTGTATATCAAAGAAAAGAATTGACATTTTAATTGATTTTGTTCTTGCCAGAAATGCGGCGAAAATCGTTCTGTTGTCTTGACAACGACAGTAATGTTGAATATTATGTTAGTAGGCCTACGGAGGTACACGCTCGGTCTTACCTCTCTAAAAAATAAATATTTCCCTTTGGGCCTTAGGAGGGGGAGGGTGGGACGATTTTAAGAACAAATGAAGAATTGATCATTATGTGTAATAATTAGATTCGATTTATATTTTGGTACCACCAGTGTGAAGTTTTGTGGTGTAGTGGTTCATTCACTCGACTCCCCATCCAAGGGTTGAGGGTTCGAATCTGAGCCCGGCACTAAAACGTCTTTGGGGAAGACACTACTCCACATTTGGCACTCTCCACCAAAAAGTAAATGGGTACATGTACCTGAAAATCGCTGCCTGCTGGGCTAGTCTCTCAGGAAGATAGGTAAACACTAAACAAAGTTTAATTGTTATTATTAATGATATTATTACTAATGTTATTATCATCATCATAAATCTGTTCTATTCGTTATCTATACAACTTTGAAATACAGGGTCTCTATTTATAGACGGAAAGACAGAACTTTCCGTTTGTGATAATTCATTGTATATTTCGAAAACCCATTGAATGCGATCATGTTTCTATGTTGAATCTTTCAAAGTAAGAAAAAAGGTTGCTAATGATTGTACAAATTGAATTTGCGTACATGATTCTTTGTGGAATTTTCGTTCCAACTTCGTATGATACACTATGATTTATGAATGAAAAAAGCATCTAATTTTAGTTTGAGAAGAGAAATGGACTTTCGTTGTATATAAGTTATAAGATATTGCAACTCGTATTACAATTTACATGTTCAATGCGAGAAAAAAGAAAACGATGAAATTAATAAAAATGTGCTTTATATCTGAATGACAAGAATCTTCTCTCATTTCTTGATTTTTTTCTCATTTCTTTCCTTCGTAAATAATGCCACAAGTAAAGTGTATGTTTATAGGTAGTTTATGACCATGAGCAATGTGGCATTTGTGGCAAAGCAATTTTTTAACAGCATGTTCATAAATTCCTCAATGATCCGACTATGAATTTGTAATCAAAGTAATATAATATTAATACCAATAAATCATAAAACGGTCATAATTTATGCTTAGGTATTGTCCATGAAATATGTAGTTATGGGGGCAGCATATAATATCAACATTGTGCAAGATTTTATCAATAATAAAGATTTCATCATTAATAAAAGACCCATAAAGATGACACACTATAGTTCAAGGCCATAGACTTACACATGGACAAACTTACTGCATCATGCATTGCCGTTTGACTCTAATTCCCTTGAACCAGTTTTACCATTACAAAAAAGTCTTTTGCCAACGAAAAAAGGCAAATGCACGGTTGAAAACCTATTCATCCGAACCGATTTATAATCACGTTTTCTTCGTTCGCTTTTGTATTCCGAAGTATGATTGCGAATTGCGGTTTAATGGTCCGCGGTTTGATTGAATGTGTAACTTTCCACTCCCCCAAAACAGAAAAGAAGAGAATTTTTTTTGACACGAGAAGAGTCATTTTAATAGCAGTTTTTATAAGATACTGGAAGCGATGTCGCGATGATGTAATAGGGTATGCACGTCGAAGTAAATGATTGAAAGAAGGAGGATTATCCCCTGATTGTGGAGAGGCGAAAGAAGGGGATGGTATTAGAGGAGAGAGAAGATGAATAATCCTTGAGAAAGAGTTTTTAAAAAAATGACGAGAGAGAAAGAGAGAGGTGCGGGGGGGGGGGGGAGGATATAATTTGGGAGAAAGCGAATGTGAGAGACAAAGGAGGAAGAAACTAGGGAACCGCTTAGGGAGAGAGGACAATACAAAATCATGGCTAAATTACTGATCTCAGAAAAAGGTTAGTCGATAAGACCGAGACTAGCTAAACTATAATGATGACAATATCCTTATCAATCGAAAAGCCTCAAATAATCCGTCAAAAAAACGTTCCGTTTAACATTGTTTGAAAAAGTACCATAATTAACATTTGAAACAGAATACGATGCAGATGACGGAAACCATAAATGAGATAAATTGCGAGGATGTGGGTGGCCTAGGCGTGCATCATGAGCAATAATTCGCGATATGAAATGATAAACCCCCTAACTGCTAAATACGACCTGTACTATACGCTACCTAATTCAAAAGAACAATTTTACATACCAATAGTACATTTCGAAACCTATTGCTCAAATTCTAAGTACAGATGGTGATGGACCACGGGTTTACTGTCCAACAAACAAATGATTACGTAATGATGACCCAACCCCCTTTCACGCCCACGTGCGTGCGTGCGTGGAAGTCTACTACCGTTGTTATCGACTAAAATAGGTCAATGATCCTCTGTTGTATAACAAATTGATCCGGGAAGTCTCTTCTAAAAAGACATCGGTTTGGTTTTAAACACAGGAAACCAATAAACGGGAAATAATCAATATAATCATTTACTAAAGGAAAATGTATTGTTTTCAAAACCAAAGGCCTATATTATTTTCTTCAGTACTGTTCTGGTGAAATATAAAGACGGTGCTCACGATCTTCGAACTGCCTGGAAGACGCGAATCATTGTCATTTTCTCAGATTGACTAATCGATTTCGTGTAATTTCTTGGAAATCGGGAGTCGTACCATGTCTACGGGGTATGGGGAACAGAGAGGGGAGGGGGGGGGGCGGTGCAGATTAACGCGTGCTGCATCTTTAGAATGTTTAAAACATTGCTATTCTTTGAAAAGGGATAGAAAATACCATTTTCATTTTCATTTTTTTTCATTTCAAAGACTTTATTTTCTGCAATCAAACAAATCAGTTATACAACAAATATGGATAATTATATAAAACGTAAGGTATGCAAACAATATACAAAATATAGAAACAAATGTATAATACATGAGTAAGAGTAAACTTATACGTTGGGCCATTGCGTGTAATAAAGAAAGAAAGCAGAAGGTCGCCGTTATAAGCAAAAGCTTGAGTAGACGGTCAACCGAGCTAAAATAAAAATGAGATGTGAAATATTGGCAAATTAACAAATTATACCTAGAGCTATCGGATAAAGGCAATGCATTTCTTTAAATCAATTATAGTTGGGCCTAAAATGATCAGAATTATGGCGACATTTAAAAGTGATGATGGACAAATTCATCTTTCTCTGTAGGCCTATTTTGTTGCATTTCCTGCGAAAGATAACAGATGGACCTATTTTTTAAACATTCTAAAGTCTTAGGAATCTGTTGACATGCACGATCGCTAGGACTTTCGAGAACTCAACTCAATTATTTATAACTCTAAAAATCATAACCATGTTCTATGATTGTACCTTTATTGCATAATATACAGATGACGCAATGATTGAAGTCATCGAGTGAGGTTGCCTATTTCGTAAGCCTTTGTAATCCTATCTTAATCCTCTTTTTTGTGTAACTTACGTATGTCTGACGGCCCGGGTCTTCCCATTCAGCCAAGTACAAGTAGCACTATACTGACTGGAACCTATCGACACATTTTCGTAATAGCTACTGCACTCTCTATTCCTCGAAGGAATGCACGTGCTGGCTGGATGCCAGTGGGGATGATGTATCTTACATACTAGAACGATTAGTCATGACTGTAGGCGCATGTCATCAAAAGATTCAACATGTCTACCTCATGCAGACGATAATACATGTATAATTAAATGTAACGGCATACTGGTCCTTAATTTGCGTAAAGTCTGTTCTAACGTACGAAATGACATGAATATGTGCCTATACCCCCATAAGACTTGAATTTTCATCTAACCTTTGTTGTTTATAACTCCATTATACCGAGTCCCTTACTTTCCATAAGCCAACTGAGCGCAGTAGTTAGATGATAGCAAATTAAACCACACCCTCTTCGATATTCACATGCCCAAAACATAATTTTAAGGCTAATCTCTCCATTTTGTGTATGCTATTTGTTAGAAAAATATAATATTTTTACTCTTTCCTTGAGGATTTGGAACAAGATGACAGATAGTCAAAAAACATGTTTTTACAATAAGTTTCGACTAGTTTAAGACTATTTAATTTCAAATAGGGTGAGGTCAACTGTCCTATTTCCCATGTATAATTCAGTACCGAGAAAGGGATGCTTAAATTAATACTGAAATCAGAAAACTTGAACTATTATTTCCACTGCATAGCATGACTGCACGCGTGACTGCTGAGCTTTGTTTGTGTTTGGATACAGGGCCACGTTCACAACGCGTGTTCTAGTGCCGCTCTCTGATTGGCTGTCTGGGCCAAGCCTCCGACGAGCCCCCAAGAGCTAGTCTAAAGATAGCTGCAGTAATTCGTTGCGTTGCGAACAGATCGGCACATGGCTTAACTACATAAATTGATAATGCCATGCAGGGGCCAGAATTTTGTTAATATCAATCAATTATCTATTAAGAATTAAATCAGAAATGATTCATGTGCATCATATTTCGATTTTCTCCAGACGAAATGTTTCACCAAAATGTTTTCTCGTTTAGAACATGTAACTTTTTTCTGAAATGAAATCACATGACATTATTTTTATGAATCATCTTTTGTTGGTGGTTTCGCATAAAGAATTCAAGCTACATACAGATGCTACGCAGGTTGTCCTGCAGTTTTCAGAACCGGAAAATCCGTAACGATTTCCGTGGAATGATTTTCAAAAGTATCTTACAAACGTCTTGCTCTTGTCTAGATAATGTATTTCTGCTCCATTCCCAGGCTTTTCTTTCCCCTTGCAGCTCAATCAGAGATAACACAGTGTGCCATGGAGGTCCAGTGGGGGGGGGGGGGTACTTCATGCTTGATGAGTTGAGCGTGACTTAGGGCCAGACCAAGAAGCTTAGACATAATTATTAAAGGCTAGGTTAGATATATAAGTGTCAAATCCTTTGTGGGAGCTAGGAATTCTACATTGTGTCACAAATCGACCCGGGAACAATAATATTTTCGGAGCATAGTTTTTCAAACCCGGCTTCACGAGTCAAGATTATACATAATATACAAATGGAAATTATGGAAATTATGGAAATTATGGAGTCTGTATTCATAGACTATCTGTCTGCAAAAGAGCGATCCCACAATAAACTTGATAATGGCCTTGGCCTGGCCTGGCCTGGTCACGCCAGAAAAGGCAGAAATACTGTTTTGTAGAAGCAGTCCAGCCAATCTGAGCGTTTTTCCATTCGTTGGTTGCTAGCTCCAGCCAAATTCAGAGACCGTATCTGGGGGTTAACTTATAGGCGTGTGCATAATATCGGCAAGGGTCTCTTGCCCGTATTTCAACAATCTAGTTTCTGAATTTTGCGAGCGAGTGAAGACAGTGGCCTAACACGCTCTCGCATCACATCTCTTTACATTGACAGTGTTATACTAAATGAAATATAAAATAATGTACAATAACATTGCTTCCGGTATATAGGATGCGGTGCCCAAATATTGATAATTTCAATGATTTTAGGAGGGGCGAATGGGGGTGTCTGGTTGTTTATTAAAACTGAGCTGCAATTTATTATAGGCATACCAAATCATTCTCATTTCAAGCATGAACGGAAATGCTAAATAGGAATTTTTTGTTTGCAATGCTTCAGATTAAGTGCAACTTCAATTGTAATATGGTATGCTTTTCAGAAAATTTTGTAGGGGGAACACAAATTTTTTTAAATAGATTTTATTAAGAAAGGTCTTCAGCCCGTAATACTTCCATTTTACTGCCTTTTCACCTTTTTGTTGGGGGGGGGGGGGAGGGGACATTTTAATCCTCCATTTATTACAACAATTTTGTCTGACCTTAGACATCTTTTAGTGCTCGTCAGTCAAAAACATGACATAATTCATGATTGTAACTACCCCATGCCGCTACAA